AAGGATTATACGTCAACTTTTAAAGAATCAACACTGACAGAAGTCTAGTGTACATACCATGCAATATGACGAAGACATCCACATCACTTCTTCTTTTTGTTGTCTTTGCTTCTGCTACTGAAAAAAAAATGACAGTAATAGTAACACAATTTTTCATGACTACATGTAATATTAATAAGAATTTCCTCACCCTCTGCCCACTCCTCTACATCACAGACCAAAGTCTTCCAATTGGTTTCCAGTCACTGCCAGTTTCATGGATTCTGTTTTGCAACTTGCTTTGCAGAGCTGTTGCGGTCTACAATGATAAGCAATCAAAAAATCACAATACTATTTAAATAGGTTACTGAACAACTAAAACAAATTCAACTGGATATTGTTACCTTCTGATATCAACAGGTCAGCGAGATGGCCAAATTGTTGAATATCTGCAAATTCCAGCACATGACCATGAGAGTTACAGTAGCATGTCTGGTCACTGCAATCCTATAGAAGAAATATTGCACTGTTCAACCTCCTTCCCAAAAGTAAAACCAGGCATATCCTGGTATGCCTCACTCCATTTCACCTGGTTAACATATACAAACAAACAAACAAACAAACAAACAAACAAACAAACAAACAAACAAATAAATAAGTAAACCAATAAGTTTTGGCATTTACTTGTAGATCAGTTTAAGACAATCACAGTTCATCTATCTCAGATATAAACTCATGTGATTAGGCATGAAACACACTAAAATCATGGGCTTAAAGATGGTGCTGAAACTTTGGACAGCTTTTTGCAACTCTTTGGAGGTAGTGTCAGTAGTTGATGTAGTCCACAAATCTTCCTGTCAATTCTTAATCCTTAGCTGTAAATAAACCTTCAAAAATGCCAGTGTTTGAAAAAGGAATGAAACAGTACAGAACAAGTGCATAACAGTTTATATCTTCTAATCTAATTTTCTTAGGTGAACATCACAGAGCTGTTTTCTTGTTAATTTAGTTTCAACACATACAGTTTAAAGTACCTCGTATTAAAGTACTAAAGTATTTCAAGTACATTCTTGAAATGGTTATGCTTATGGTTCATATCTACTTAAATTGGCAGTATATCTAGTGTGGAAGCAGAACAGATGAAGGGCTCTTCCTTGCAAATACTATCCACCTTGTATTGCACAGACTCCCACTCAAGAATATCTCAGAAAAATGTCTGCTGAGATCTTAGCAGTCCATTAAAAATAATTATACCAACATCTTTTCCACCAATGGAAAGAATATAAAAATATTTTAGGATATATTAATACTTGCATGACCAAATCTGAGATAAAAAGGCCATCAGTATGCCTTAGTTTAAATAAAACCAAAATTTGACTCTAGCCCACTGTCACCTAGGTCTACAGATACAGGGACTAATGGAAACAATGAAGTACACACTGACAGTCACTGGAGCAAGGCCCTCTCACAGTTGGGAAGATTGGAGTTCCTATGAGCTGTACCAGATAAAAACAACAAAAAAATGTACATTTATAACATTTCTAACTTATCCTAAGACTAGTAGACAAGCAGCATAAGCAGTTCTAATTTCCTAAACCCCAATGTGGGCAGTTGATGGCCTATAAGGTGTCATAAAATCAGACAAAACAAAATACTTTCTGAAAAAGAAAAAAAATGGTTGGCCACTATCAACACCCAGAACAAATAGTTTTAAACAGTTAGGCCACAATATTTTGTGAGCTTATGCTGTAGTTTATTAATGTTTGTCATAAACAATAGTAATAGTAAAACTAATGCGTTTCTTTCTGTTATTACAAAAGTAGTGAAAGAATAAATGCATTTTATCTCATACAATCACATATGCCTAAACAATGTAGATATTTAATATACATGGAATGAAAAACTTCACTAACCCTTGACTGATTCCAGAGTGGTCTTGGCCTTCCTTACATGGTGGTGCTTTCTGCAGATCACCAAGTTGTCATCAAAACTTGAGCTTATAATTGAGATCTTGATGATAAATCTGAGTATTGAGGAATCACTCATGGTGATAGGCAGAAACAGGCTGAAAGACACAAGAATTAATCAAACAAATATAAATGTGTTAACAGAGATAGAGAGAGAGACAAGTGCAATTTAACATATAAACATGGGTAAAGTGATTTTACTTTTTGCTTATTAGAAAACAAAATTGGATTTTTAAAAGAAATCTAAAGAACCTGAAAAGAGCAAAGAAAAAATATTCATATCTGAACAGTGAACACCTTATAATGTACACCTGT